CCAAAATGGCCACGGCGATCGCCTCTAATAAATATCGAATGGGCATGCTAATCTCGCACAGCAATGTAGCGCTCCTATTCTAGACCTACCTAACCGATAATAGGAGAACAGAGAGAGAGAGAGAGAGAGAAAGACAGAAAGAGAGACAGACAGAGAGAGAGAAAGAGACAGAGAGAGAGAGAGAGGCATAGATACAGAGAGAGAGACAGACAGAGAGACAGACAAAGAGACAAATAGACAGACAGAGAGGGAGTCAGACATACAGACAGACAGACAGACAGACAGACAGACCGACGGACGGACCGACGGACCGACGGAAAGACAGACAGACGGACAGACGGACAAACAGACAGACAGATACTGAACTTTCGCGTGCAAGCGCTGACCAGCGGTTGGACTCGGCCATGCCACCGCCACCGCGCTGTGCGCTGTCTGCACACGGTGCAAAAGATCCTGTGGATGAGGCCTTCTCGCCACGTCTTGGTCTGCGGCCCTTTGGGCGGCGGAGGTGAGTACGACAACCAAACCGGCGAATGGCCAGCCTACCGCACCTGGTCGATGCCTCTCACCCTCGCCGCACCGCCACGATTGCGAAGAGCAATGGTAGCCTTGTGAGCATTCACAGAGGAGCTGCCAGTCAAAAAGAAGAGCTCCTTGGGTTCATCAGGGTGATGTTCCTCTCTGTGCTGCATGCGAGCCCGGTGCTTCGCATCAGTGCCCGCCATTCCCTTGAATCCAACTGTACAGCCAGGCACAGGACAACGCCACTCGCAGTCAGGGCTCCACGGAATACAGCTGAGCACCGGAGGCGCCTTCCCCAGCTGCGCACGAAGATCAGGATGACACTTCCTGATATGCTCATCTTTCTTCTTGCTCCACTGCATCGTGTAGCCAGTGTCCCAGCCACACTCCTCGCATCGCCACGACGACCTTGCAGACCGCCTCTGGTGGCCCGGCTCAGCAGTAGGCGGTGGCTCAACGTCGCCCTCAAGCTCGGCAGTCAGGTCAAGGTCTGTGCTGCCTTCAGCACTGCCAAGGGTCGCGCCTTGGGGCTCGGGGGCAACTTCTGCCTGCGGCCTGCTGTCGTCGGTCACCAGGTTCTGCTTGCAGCGTTTAGGACTGCCACCAAACTTGGAAAAGGCCTGCTAGCGCCGCTTTGCTTGCGCTTGCTCACAGCCTCCCGGCTTGCCTCGCAGCTGCCAGTTGCAGTAGCACCGACCTCTCCTGTAGTCTGCGCCCTCCTCGAAGCACAAGTAAAAACAGTTGACGCCGCCTCCGCCTGCTCCACAACGGCTGCCTCGGTGAAGACCGTTTCCTCAGAGTCGGTGTCGTCGCCCGTAGCCTGGGGACCCCCACCACGAGGCAGATCAGTGACATGGCCCTCCGCATGGCACGCACAAAGGTCCTCCGCCTCATCGTTTCCTTCAATAGGACACAATCAATCGAAATGACCCGGATTCTCGGAAAACCAAAGCGCGATGCGATCACGAGCAGAAGTGTTGTACACAGCCTTGGCCAAACGAACAGGTGCAGGGATAATGTGCATAGCGACCTTGTAAGTCTTGGCAGCCCCATAAGCCTCCAAGCTACCTGCCCAGCGCCCCGCCTCAGGTATATGGTCGATATACTCAGCAGAGCTATTGATTTCCTGCCCGTTGGAGTCTTGCCCGCTTCAATATTGCTCATAAGCCGACTGATGCTTGCGCATATGGGCACAAATCTCAGCGCGGATGGGGTGGGGAGGAAGGGCAGATTCGTTACGAAACCTGCCAGCAGCCTGCCCGATGACAGTATAAAAGCAATTTCTATTATTATCAACTTTCTACAACGTAACCCCCTCTAGAAGACCGCGGAACTTCTCAACGACGGCCTGCTTCTTTGAAGGTGGCTCCGTAGAGCTTTCAGCTCCCGGTTTCTGCTCTAGCTTGTAGCCCTCCTACATAGGCGTCGCCTTGCTAAAGACAAAGGGTTTCCGGTCGTAGATGGGCTTAGCAGCCCTAGCGAGCCCCGACCTATTAACGATCATCCAATAGGACGCCTCAGTGTCGCCTTCCTTCATAAAAATCTAGAAGGCATCGGTATCGGTGTTGTTACAAAAAGCACGGCACACAACTTTCGCTATACCGCACAAATATGCACGACACAACTTTGAGCGTACCCATGCTCACACAGCACACGCAACACACACACACATACAGAACACATACGACACGGACAACGCACACAAAACGCACAACACACACACACAGAACACACACGACACGAACAACGCACACAACACGCACAACACACACACGCACAACGCACACAACAGAAGAACACACACACGCACACACAACACACACCGACACACACAACACACGCAACACACACAGAGACACACAACACACACACACACGCAAAGCCACACACACCCGCACACACGTACGCACTCACACACTCGCACGCACACACACAGAGACACACATACACACACACACATTCCTTTCACTCAGTTGGCACACGAGTTAACATGTCATGTGGGGTTATCCGGTCCTTTAACTTATATATTCTATATATGTTGTTCATCATACCTTTTATTTATCAAGTATTCATGCATATATCGATTGGTATATTTTTCGTAATTTCGAAATACAGATAATACTAAAAGTGTATATATATATAATATAGGTGATCTATATAATAGAAAAATATGATTTTATAATTGAAGTTATTGAATTGGAAAATTCATGAGTGTAACAAATAAATAGCTCTTAAAATTATCAAGTTCATGAAAAATATCGAAAACATTGTGTTCAATTTTCAATAGATGATATAATTCGATGTGGTTATTTGTTTACAAAATTGGTTATCGGCCTGTCTTGTATGTTTTCAAGGGTCGGGGTCTTGCACACAAGGGTCTGTCATGCAAGGTTGTTGCCGGGTGTGTGTTGGCAGCCATCATATTATGCTCTGTTATAATTGGCTTGCAGAAAGGTTCTGAAGGCTGCCCACTAACCCTGGCAGAAGTATGATGCAGAAACAGGCAGGCACATGATCTCGGACATGGCATGCAAAAACTGCTGCTAAGGTAAAATTGCACTTACGAATTCGAAGAGAATCTAAATTCATTCCTCTTACCGGACGAAGGCTAGTGAGACCACTGGCTCTCACGGATAGTGCACCGACATCAGCCCGGCAATCTCATGGTGCTTCAAAGGCGTGCAAGCAACATCTGGCCCAAGTCCAGAGCCAAGGTCGTCACATAATGTTTCAATGCCGTCAGATCCCGACGGCACTGACAGCGCTGCAGTCCTTGCGTGTTGGGGAGGCAGTGCTGCAGCCGAATTTGGAACCCTTATACTTTAAGCAATCGACAAATCATGGATCAGTTGTATTCAAGGCTCAGCTGAGACAACTGATCCTCCACATGCCATTGAAAGCGTCCAAACATTTTGATGAGCCAGGTTTGATCATGGATAAGTTTTCCAACCTTGGGTGTGGAAAGGTGAGGTGGTCACGCTCGCAATGGAGGTGCACCATGCTTGCAAGAACCCAGTAGCGGCAGTGGTACAGCCATCGTGACAAATTCTGACAAGAAGTAAACAGGACCGCGTCATTGAAACATTTCGAGACAAACAAACAACATCCTATGTTTGAGTACAAGTTCGAGGCCAAGCGCATCGACAGCCCGCGCATTGCCTCTCAAGCGCAAACATCCCATCAGGAACTCGTCTATCTCCACCTCACCACCGGCGTCCAGATCCTTTGTTGCTTCTTGCCACTGTCTCGGCCTTATCCCTGAACGCCGACGGGTTTGGTTTGCTTATGCCGTGCTTCCACACGTCAAACAAGAAAGGCCAAGAAGCCAACAGCTTGAAAAACGACCATGCATCCCAGATATCAAGGCCCAAGCTTTCAAAATATTCACGAACCTCTGGCGACTTGATCGTCTCCTCAAACCTCGGCAAACGATTGAAGTCAATTGAGCTCAGAATACCGGCCTTTTGCCCAGAAGTAACTCTGCTACTTGCCTATTACTGGTCAATCCAGTCAGTCTTGAGTAATACCAGTAGTAGTAGTAGTAGTAGTAGTAGTAGTAGTAGGAGGAGTAGTAGGAGTGGAAGTGGGAGTCGGAGTAGTAGGAGGGGTCGGAGGAGGAGTAGGAGCAGTAAGAGTAGGAGTAGCAGCAGGAGCAGGACCAGGAGCAGTGGCAGTAATTTTCCAACTTGCCTCTGTCGCACTTGCAAGCAGGAAATAGACTGCTCTACCGAGCATCGGTTACGATGACGTGACCCCCATGCCAAGACCGAAACCCCAAACCCCAAAAACCAAATCACACCCCATCATTCCGGGAGCGGGACATCGCAAATGTAATTGTCGTGCAGTCCTTGCATGTTTGCTTGGCTTTCCAAGTCCGAAGCAATAAAGATTCGGGAACTCGTCGCAGCTTGTTATGGGCTAACGCACATGTCCGCAGCACTAGCAACCTGCTCCCAACCGTGAAACAAAATTCTGCTAGTTACCCTTTCGTCGTCCTCCCCGCCGAATTGGCTGAATAGTCCACGAATCTTCTCCAGGTGCGCCTCCTTCGGCCACCCAAGGTTATTGAAGGCACTGCCAGAAAATCATAGTTGCACTATGTCAGAGTCTCAGTCTACCCGTCGTCATCATCCCAGCACAATATCAATAACCCGAGTTGTCTGAAACATGCCCCAGAATGCGGAGCAGCAACCCAAGATCACAAAGGGAGGGAGAGAGAGAGAGAGAGAGACACAGAGAGAGAGAGAGAGTCGCGGGAAGGAGAAAACCATCAGCGCCCCGGAAGCATGGCTTGCACTGTGAACCGCGCAAATCTGAACCCTGACAACACTTTTCGAGAATTCTGGTATCTTGGCTCGGAGGTCGGAGGCGTATTTATCTGTTCGCTTCGTTGCAGAGAGGCTTCTGCAAGTTTCAATGTTGGGCCGGTTTTCTTCATCTCACGCGAAGCTGCCGTTTGCATAAGACCATGGTTAGGCATGGCTGCTTGACTGGGGCCCCTAAGCAAAGTGGCCCTACCTGAAAGTTGGAGATTTTCACAAAGTGCGACCGATTCCTATCAACAGAGGAAGAGGTGATAGTTATCCATCTTTTGTGGCTTTTCAAAGGGGCTTCAATCCCGGAAGCTGAAGAAGTGCGAGACCCTCTGGACTCTACATTGTGCTGAAACTCATCTTTCCGTGATCTGATTCGGTCCGCTTTGCAATAAGCTTTCCAGCCACCCTTTCATGCCTTTACATAAATGACGAAGCAGTACGGTGCGAAGGCCCCTGTCACTGTCTCCCCCGGAAATTCAGACAAAACGAAACTCAGCCATTGCGATTTGCAGCTCCTTGTTCTCGAGGATGGACTGGATGACCGACGCATGGTCTTGTTGCGCACTATCTATGGCAACTTGACAGAATACCGCGGTTACCTTGGTGAAGCAAAACAAACACCTATTCCGACAAAAGAGGCACGTCGCCGTTCACTGGGCTGCACGGAGCACATTTAATATGCTCCGTGTCATTTGCGACTGAATGCAGACTAAGTGAGTTTGTGTGTGTGAGTGCGGGCAAGTGCGAAGTGTTGTGAACCAACTCAACGTTGAAATCATGCATGGATGGTGGTGGCACTTCATTCTTTAACTCGGCCAACGAATCTGTAAGGAATTATGGGTGAATTGAAGATGATGTGGCAACTGACATAGGGGCTTAAGAGATACTACTGCACGCCTGCAATGTAGGTTTGCACCGGGACATGTTTCGAGGCAAGGTTCAGATAGCTTCGGAATGTGTTCGTCGTGTGTCTTGAGGTGTGTTGCACGGACTCCTCGATATACCATCGTTGCCGAACATTGTCACGATCAGTATTCAGGCATGATGGTACAACGGAGCGACATTCTGACACTGCACTCGGCAAGAAATGCGGCAACTGATCATGTACAATTAACACATCTGAGAATGACGAACCAGTGCGGCAAATGAAGACCCATTCAGACAGATGAAGACAAAACCTCAAGATTATGATTTGTGAGTGAGTCCGGCTTGGTGTTTCTAAGTGAATAGCCCCAAGGGTTGAAGGCCAGAGGTTTGGTACAATGACCATGAAGATCAGCAAGCGCCATCACAGAAAACAGCATTTCTGCCAACAGTGTGAGCAGTCAACATCGACAAGTTTAACGATTCATACAATAGTCATCAATGGTCATAACACCTGTAATGACGGAGGCAACCGTAGGACTGAGAACGGAAAACACTTGTCGACTCTTAAAAACCTGACAGAAACCGCTCTGAAATATAGCAATGAACATGCAACTGAATACAGAAGCCGTCGACAACAATAGCACAAAACAAAAACGGCAGATGAGAAGGCAGCAGACATCCGAAATGATCGGAATTCCGAGTTGAAGCTCGAGCGGTGGCGAGCAGCAAGCTTCTGATTGAGGTCAGCACTGTCAGCACATGCGCTAGGCTTTTCTTAGGTTGGAGGAAATGCTTCGCTTCGGTGTCTCGGGTGGATTCCGGGGGGATGTGGGGGCTTCAGCTTTCGAGTTGACTTCTGCTGCATTTGGTGAGTTCTTGAAAAGAAACTCCAAAGAGTGGGCAAGAATCTCACACGAAACCGCGGAAAGCGCCAGCTCATGTATTGAGCCAATGGGAAGCCAGCGGGAAGGCTTCGGCCTTCCATCTTGAGCTTAAAACGTCCCGCTTGGCTTCAATGCCATCAGAATTTTCCGAGGTTGCCGGTGGATTCTTTACTCCATGCTATGCTTCGCCATGTGGCGTTTGAGTGTGCTATGAAAGGCTATGCTAGGTGCCTTCCCTCAGTTGCGTACACTCACGTCTTGAAACCCAGTCATCTTCACATCGAAGCCTTCGCCTGTCAAGGTGGAGCATACCTGCGTGACCGACATGTGTGTGTGTGTGTGTCTCCATGCCGCAGCCCTCACAATGCCGAACAGGACACGACGTTCAGCACAGCGAAGTACGTAAAACTCACCTGGGGCAAGAAGAACTTTGCAACTGCGCACATGTTGGTTGTGTTCCTGTCGACATTTGCGGTGTTGAGAATAGATGAGGTTGCTGAACTGGACGGGCAGCGTAAAAAAGAAAGCAAAAGACCCATCCGAGGGAGATCGCCTGACAGGGGGGGGCTGCAGACGGACAAATACCAGTGCGCACCTCCTACTTAGTTACTTTCGCTGTCGTGTAATGAGGCCAGAAAACTGACCAACTACAGGATATTTGCCTCGAGGGGACGAATGACCTCAAACCAGCTCACGCCACCAGAGATACTCATGAAGAGGCTGAGCATGGTGTAGGCCAGCGACCCAAAATAGCGGCGAGCGGCCTGTCGAATGATAAATGCCGGCCAGTATGTTATGCTTATATGTAGACATAATAAAACAAATGTGTATGTAATTACTAACACTTATGTAACGTCTGTGCGATGCTTCGCTGTCCATAAGAACAGATGCAGAGAATCAGGCACCAAGTCATGTACTGCACTGTGCACTTCCGCAACTGTGCCATGTTGAGCACGATTCGGGGATTCGAGCTCACCGGCATCTTTGTATCTACAACACGAAGTGCTTCAACTACCCACAAATCGCACACTTCTGCAGCACCTGGATTGCCCGAGTCTCTGGTATCAGATCTTCCAAAACCTAAACCCTAAACCCGGAGCCTCCATGTCCTCCGTATCCATTGACTCACCCGCAGAGTTCATGTGGTCGTGAATCGCTTGCGAGAAAAGTGCTGCAAAGACATAGACGATGAGCACCAGCAACACCATCGCCCAGAACAAAGACTTGAGCGTATGAAATATTGAGGTGACCAATGTTCTTAACGCCGTCACAAAGCGGAGGACTTTGACGATTCGCACGGCTCTCAGGATGCGTGCAACACGGATGATTCTGAAGGCTCGGATGCTGGATAAAGTTGTAGCAGAACCTGGCGCGGCCAGTTGTAACGGTACATGGGATCGATCAACAAACTTATGTCAGGCCCAATATCGCGGCTGAGGAATCAACAAATCCAAATTCGAGGCTCAAAACTTTAAAGTAAGGGTGAAAAATCAAACTATCATGAGTCCTAGCGGGTATGCTACAGATCACCTATTTTCGGCCCAAAAACTCATAAGACTGAGGAAACCATAAGACTGGAGAAACCCTTGTGAATGTGCCTTACTTGTCTCGTAAACTTGTATAGCATTGCTACCGTTAGAAGCTTAGGTGACGTGGTGGGTGGGCGGGCGGGTGAGTGCGTGTGTCCGTGTCCGTGTCTGTCTGTGCGTGTGTGTGCGTGTGCACGCGCGTGTGCGTGTGTTTGCGTGTGTGTTTCTCCGTGTGTGTGTGTGTGTACTACCCCCGTTCATGGGTTTTAAATGGGTTACTCCCCTCTTTTTACTTGAGTACACAACGTCATGGGGGCCCGTGTTTTTCGAGTAAAACACGTGGTGTTGTTTTGAGATGTTTTAAGCTCTATCCAAGAAAAGGACATGTGTATGATATCAAGAAACTGAAACTAGATGGTAGAACGAAAAATGTGCAGCCATCACAGAGCATTGCAGGTTTTTTGCCCCACAACAACATTAAATTGATTTCCGGTTCGTATGGACTCACAACATCATTACAGCGATTCTATATATATATATATATATTATGCCAATACCATACATTTGAACTTGGGTGGGCACTGATCCATAACAGACAGTGTTGGACGGTATTGGCACGCACCGACCCCCAACAATGTTGAATTGAAATTTATATGCCCTACCAAAAATAGATTCGGATGCCATGCTTCTTACGATATCAGGAGTTGAGGCTCGTAGAGACAGGGTTGAAGATATGTTCCTCCTTGCTTCCTTCCGTCCATCCTTTGCTTTGCTCATTCTTCTGTCGTGCTGTTTTCCTTGTTATCAATTTTGTTTTGATATTGATTAAGCTTGCCTTGATCCTCTTTGAACCTTTTTTAACCCTGCCTATGTTTTATCCACATCCCGCAATAATGCATGTCGTGGAATCAGGCTCGCAATCAACCTGAAATCCTAGCCCCAGCGATTCCTGACGCATGTTATACATACCAGGGTGCCCTGGATGTGATGTGTAACACATGTATATCAAGGTGCAAAAGCGCGCAACAACACGTGAGGAAATACAGCCCTCAGCCAGGATAGTTCTGGCAGCCTAGGTAAACAGTACTGAGACAAGCAGCCACCACGTTCCGGGTCTTCCGAGTACATGATAAAAGCATCATTCACCACTTGCCACACGGAGGTGACCACAACAACCTCTGGATCATTCTAGGCTTCTCTACCAGTGCTTTTGACTTATGAGGGACAGCGACACGCAAATGTGAAGGCGGTTGAGTCGAAGGCTGGACGTCTTAAGTCAATTTCTGCTTGATCTCACAACCTGATCTTCCTTTAAGTCTGATGACGAGATCCAGCCAGCCCCACATCCACTCTTTCGAAAAGAAGACACGCTTGCCACCGGCGCAGATTCGCATCAAGAGCTCCTGACATTAAAATGTCGGGCAGGCAACAAGCTCCTAAGAGTCGACGACTATTTATTGATGGCAATGCCAATTGCCTGCTCTGAGAAAACAAACAACCTCATTCGGAATCGGACAAGGGTCGACCATAAATATTGCTGCAAAGGCTGCTTGTGTGACAAAAAACTCCGGCGGCATCGACCCGGGATATTGGATAGCGTGCTGGGTTTCGAATCCGATGAAAATCGCATTAGCCAGAACCACGAGTGTGCAGCCTGCTTCGAAGAACGGATGTGAGCAAATCTCGACAAGGCAACCATGCCGGGAATCTGCACCTTCCGCATGAGATGGGAGCAACTCCTTCTTTGATCGATGCACTTCGGAAGCCGCCCGTCGAAGTGCGCGGTCAAGTGCTGAGAAAGTCTTCAGATACCGGCGCTGCGGGCCAAGGGGAGGCGAGGACGACGATTGTTCCGCTTTCATGCTCATGCTGGCTTCCACTTCTCTAATCGAGCTGGCTGAGGAAGCGACACTGGACCGGATCGACTGGCGTTCTGCAACTGGGAATGGCGATGCTGCGGGCTCCAAAAGGCTCCCAGTAGTTTGAAGGCGTGCTTTGAACACAACGTTCTGCAATGCAGAATGCTGTGCTGCCAACTGCTGCATGATCTCCCGGTGCTGCTGCATCAGCAAGCACTGCAAGTCCGCGGCACAGCTAGCATCGGGTGCTGCCATGCAGATGCCAGGGCTTGCTGGAGGAGAGTGGCGTAAATTCTCCGGGACTTCGACGTCTGCTGGCAAAGTGGCAAGTTCTGGAGGCACTTTGGTGTCCATTCCGCTGGCGCGCGATGTCTCTGGTGACAGCGCCCGAGGGTCGCACATGGACCACTCTCTGTCATGCATGAATGAACAAGCTAGAAAGGCATCTGGATTTGCATGCTGCCTCTGTTTGATGACGTCTTGTTCTTCGTTCGGATTTATGGACACGAGTGCTGCTCTGTGCATGCCTTGCTGGACTGTCCGAGCAAGCCCGAGTCAAATCACATCTTGCTGCTATCCTGCTAGCTGAAGATAGACTTAAATTAGAGTCGTTGCGGACCTCGGGGCAATGAAGTAGAAGTTGTAGCACTGGTCGAAGTAGTAGCAGCCGTAGCAGTAGCTGCGGCAGTGGGCAGGAGCAGGAGCAGGCGCAGGAGCAGTAGCAGCAGTCGTAGCAGTCGTAGTCGTCGTCGTAGTAGTAGGAGT